TAAATAACCTCTAAGAACTTATGGGTGAAAGTAAAGAGAACAATGTATAACAATATTTCAAACACTATATCCGGTATATCAGTGCCGACAAGGCCCTTCGTCTAATACCAGAGCTCACCAGTGTCGTTTAACTGCAGTTACACATCACAGACAAACTTTTACATACACTCTGCTGGCGTAGCCTAGTGGCTAATATGTCAGACTGTGGATCGAGACATGATGCCACTGAACTCGCGTTATAATTTCAGTTGTAGGTGCGATGTAAAAGTAACAGCCAATTTCGTTTTTCGTTTCAAAGACCACGGTAAGTAGTGGGTGCTACTAGTTAGCAGCCTTACCTCTAGCCAGTATTTCAAAATCAGAGACGACTTTATACCCGAGTCTTAGGGAATCTCTAACTTGGCCGTTTTAACTCATGTTGCGCATATTAGGTTGAATATTCCATTTTCTATTCCCCCCACCCCACCCCGGTGTATTAGCGGTAAATTTACGGACTTACAACGCTAAAATACAAGGTTAGATACCCCGCGATTAGATAGCCTATTGTGTATAAAGAAAACAATAACAACCTATTTTCCATAGTTTAATAAAAGGAGTTTATCAATAGATAACTTGTATTACTATGTAGCACAGTTGTAATGTTGGCAGCTGGTGGATTTAAAACACCTTCTGACGAAGCACGTATAAATACTCTAATATATAATCAGTTTATGGCGCCTAGTGACATATTCCGTGCATTTTCCATATGTTCTGCGGTAAGTTGAATCAGCTAATTATATTTTTTTCAGTAGAACCTGATTCATCGTTTTCAACATCGTACTTGAAACATGTGTAGTTACATGAAAATTACTGCAAATATGTAAGGAGGAACTTTACACCAAGCTATTTTAAAACATTAAAAAATAAGTCAAATGTATGAATTTTAATGCCAGTTTTCAGAGGTCTTATAATTTTGAAGATTTTACTTGCTGGGCCTTAGTAAACGTGATCAAAATTTGAATTTATCGAATTAGAAACAAACCTGAAGTAATGTCATTTGCGAAAAAAATGATATTATTTTTTTGACTGTTATATCTGGATATTGTGAAGTTACCCTTCGATAGATACATTGAAAAAAATGTCCTACGAAATTAGGTAATTAGCAAAACTTAATGATAGTTACCTTGACGAAATGTGATAATTATTTACTATGTAACCTAATTACTAAAAAGAGTTATAATTTTCCCCAAACTAAGCTTCATTCATAGAATTACTTGCAATATGGGTTTTGAGTTTGTTTTATTAGAATTTATTTCGGCCATAGCCATTTAAATGTGATGATGATTATTAATTTAACGGTTTAAAAAGCCAACAGAAATACCAACTTCAATATATTCACGAAAAAAAAAAGAAGGAAGATAATTATTCATTTATAAAAGAGTTACAGCCACAGTAGTTGTTGCAGACTTCGTTTATAGCACCATCTAACACATGCAAGTCATCAGTATGTTTTGTACGTAATCCATAAGAGCCGGGTTTGGCCTATATATTAGCGTACCGGATGTGAATGTGGTTCACATTTCGTTGCAGCAAAATCGTGGCCTACACTTTGGAGCCATTAGCGAATTTTAAATGTGACGAATTTCACGATTCGATTAGAGAAACCCAAGAGTTGGTGGCGCGAATATCCGAAACTAATAGAACCCAGAAGCAGGAGAAACAGCATGGTACTGGTAGAAAGATGAGAGGATAGTAGGTAAGTTTCACTCATGAGACCAGATCGCTTCACACATAAGTCAACAAGCAATAGTTTCAATAAACAAGGTATTGGTAGAAAGATGAGAGGATAGTAGGTAAGTTTCACTCGTGAGACCAGATCGCTTCACACATAAGTCAACAAGCAATAGTTTCAATAAACAAGATATTGGTAGAAAGATGAGAGGATAGTAGGTAAGTTTCACTCGTGAGACCAGATCGCTTCACACATAAGTCAACAAGCAATAGTTTCAATAAACAAGGTATTGGTAGAAAGATGAGAGGATAGTAGGTAAGTTTCACTCGTGAGACCAGATCGCTTCACACATAAGTCAACAAGCAATAGTTTCAATAAACAAGGTATTGGTAGAAAGATGAGAGGATAGTAGGTAAGTTTCACTCATGAGACCAGATCGCTTCACACATAAGTCAACAAGCAATAGTTTC